TGCTTAAAGGATCACGGGACTTAGTAAGTAAGGTTATAAGCCCCTTAATTGGGGTTATAAGTACAGTTACCCCAATTATAACCCAATTACTAAGTCCCATGATCCTCCAAGTATGGACCTGACAACCAGAAGATTGGACCCGTTCTCAAGTACGCTGCCTGCATCGAGCCTGCACGACGGATATCGCAGTGATGCTGATTTTGTGTCGATTCGGCGTTGTCGGATCTAAGGAGCTTTGCTCCATTTAAAACATTGCGGGCTAAGCGATTAGCAATTCCTTACTGCCCATAAGGAGCTTTGCTCCGTGAAAACATTTCGACGCTCAGCCATTCCAGAGAATCTTGTTAAAATTTTGGCAGAGCATTTCAATATGAGATTGGCAACTTCTTATTGCCCGGCTGATTCCTTCTTCTTTTGCACGTCAGTGGGGTCTGGGACTTTTGGTGTGTCAGCTGGCCCCTGGAACTCCTCGTGTACCTTGATGACCTCTGGTGTGGAGGACATGGCCGCTGCACCGGAAATGGACGGACCGACAGCAGGAAGGTTCAAATTGAAAGAAACCCAGGTCCCAACATCCCCAGCAAACCGACCTCCAACGCAGAGTGACCAGTTTCCATTGGGGCTTGTTGCCAAAGCATCCAAGTCGCCGTCAAATGGTCGGACAGCATTCACACCTGAAAGCCCTGTCCGATGCCGGAGCACTCGCAGCTCACAAATGTGACTGGATCGGTGGAGAACAAATCGCTGGCGCCTCCATTGCCTTGGAGGAGCCGTGAGACATTCCCAGCCGGACTCTCGATCCAAATGATCAAATCTGATAGCCAAGTGTGTTCAATGCCCAAAGTAACACTCATAATGTCGGCTGCACAGACTCCGTCCGGTGCGAAGGTCGCACAAAGCGCTGCGCTGGGCACTAACTCGCCATCCAGATTAGTCGGGTAAGTGTTGTCTGGAATGGTCTGCGGAAGATCTGGTTGAAAATTTTGGATGTCAACCGGAGTCGGAAGGCAGGTGGTGGTGGTGGTGGTGGTGGTGGTGGTGGTGGTGGTGGGCGGAGAATAGTAACGCGAATTGCTGTGGATGTGGCCCCAGCGATAGGGCCAGTCTTCCAGAGAGCGGCGATGCATTGACAGGAAGGTCACCTCCTCAGATTCGCAAACCTCCTCGGACCTGCCACTCCAAACACACATTGGCATCGCAATGAGCATGGGCATAATCCATGTCACAATGACCTGATTCCACATGGCTATGGCGCAAAAGAAGTAAAGAAGCAAACTGCCTATCACTATACAAGGTTCAAAACTGCTTGAGCCGCAAACATTCAGCCGCATGTATCAACCTCAAACGCAAAGACCTCTGAGCACTTTATTGAACACACCGGCCGAACTCTGCCTCTGCCGCTGTGGCATTGCGCAATGCCCAGCCGAAGTGTCAACATCTGGGAGTTTCCGAAAATAAGCGGTACACTATTTTGGGGGCCCTTATAATAAGGAGCCTACTATTTAGGGTGTTTTTTGGGGATCCCCTATTTTAGGAAACCCCCATCTCTCTGTCTCTCACCGGGTCGTGCCAGCTACAACACCCACGGAATTGGTCTTGACTCTGGTACATCCAACTTCAGAAAGCTTGCCGGAGACACCTCATTCTGTGGCCTCCTTGGTATTTACACCGTCGCCAAGGTCGGCAGTCCACACGTAGGCGAAAGTAACATCGTCCGTGGAGCAGTAGAGGTCGAATTTGGGGATGGCGTTGTTCGCACTGCCCCACTGGTGAGTCTTGACTTTGGTCACGGCATTCGGCTGATTCAGCTTGTAGGTGATGCCTTTCCCAACCTTCGCGGCGCCGCCACACGTCACCCACTTCGTGGACAAGTCACCGTCGAAGGCACCCTCGGGGGACCCATCCCAGCGCTTGCAGTCGGAGCTTGCGGTGCCCTTCCCAGGTCCTGAGATGAGGTCATCGCCATTGAAGAGCTCGATCTCAAAGATGTGCGCCTCCCAGCCCCTGGGATTGTCCGCCGCGATCCGCAGCTGCCACGAGGAGCACACTGGTGCGGGCATGGTCGTAGTCGTTGTCGTGGTGGTGGCAGAAAGACTCCTTGGCTGACTTCTGAACACCTCCAAAAAGTTAAACTTTTAGTCTCCTTATTATGGTTCATATAGAAACCCAAAAAGTTAAAGTCCTAAGAGCCAACCAGAAGAACACCAAGACTCATCGGTGCAAGGCCTTTGGACTGAACATACTGAAGCGCATCAGCCCCGATCTGCCAGCGGAGGTCACCCTCGAAGAAGGCGCTGAGGTCGTGCTTAGCGCCGATGCTTGCTGCGATGTAAAAGTTCTCCATGGCTGTCAGGTAGTCCTGCTTCGAGGACGGAGCCCTGCTCAAAAGTTCCGGCAAAGAGTGGAAGAAGCCTTTCAGGAACTCTGTGCCGCCACACTTCCGGTATAAGAAAGACCATAGACCGGAGTAGAGGTTGTCGACACTGGAACTGTGGCGCCAGGGCAGCCGCTCCCTCATAAAGGTGTTCTCCTGGTTGTACTGCTCATCATGGACGTAGGTCATCAAGTTTGCCTCCATGCTCGACATGAACTCGCCACGATCCTTTCCAAAGTAGTAGAAGGCCACTGGCGGTGTGATATCTTCGGAGATCAGGCATCCGATGATGTTGATGATGCCCTGGTTCACCCATCCCCAACTCAACTCCCCATCGTAGGTGTGGTAGTCCAGGACTTTGGTGTACACATGGGGGAACATGTAGTTGCGGAAGTTTTCATAGAAGAAGATGTGGTCAACCACCGATTTCCGCTCCAGCGCCTTTTCGAACATACCTGGCAGTTTCCGATCATGCGGGGGCGGGGGGGCGGGGGGGCCTACGATTCGACGATGACGCCGGGGATAAGCTACCCCCCACCCTAAACCCGAAAGCCCCAACTAATGTACCACCATTTGAGGAAACTCCCCCCTAAACCCCAAACCCCTAAACCCTAAACCCTGAGCCCCAAACCCCAAACTCCCACCTTGCAGAAAGGCCGGACCAACTGCGCAGCCGGCTTTCACCTCAGATAAATGGGACACAGTGGGGGCCATACAGCCCGGATTCTTGAATCTTATAGTATAAATATAGTCTACTATAGGGTATAGGGTATAGTCTACTATAGCGTACTATATTATAGTCTACTGTAGCGTACTATACTATAGTCTACTATAGCGTACTATGTTATTCAGAACATCCATAGCATGATCTGATACGGTAAGAAAGCCCCGGCGCCTTGAGATGCAAAGCCTAAGCGCCTAAGTAGCTTTGGCCCTACCTATGGTCTCCATTGTAGTTCCTTTTTTGGTCTAACCCATCATATATGAAAGACTTTATAAGGCATCCCCAAAAAGGAACTACGATGAAAAACTACAGGTAAACCCCAAACCGGTTCCTTGTTGGAAGGCGAGCGGCAGCCTTGGCGAGTCCTGCAGCATCTATGAAGTTCACTTCCATGGGAATGCGGCCTTCAAGGCGAGCATCGCCGGTGAAGTACGTGGGGACCATGCCCACGACATCATCGTAGATGTAAAGCCTGGGCTCTTCGGATCTTCTTGCGCGCTTCGTATACGTTCCTAGAAGAGGAGGAACCGAGAGAGAGAGAGAGAGAGAGAGAGAGAGAGAGAGAGCCCGTAAAGGGCACCTTCTCCAAAAACCGGTCCGAGTGGCATCTTTTGTAAGTTTGAGACCACCAGCTCCATGGCTTCAGAGGTCTCCTGGTTGCTGTCGGGATTGAAGGAGGCGGTCCGCGCCGTGTCTGGTAGGACCAAGGCCACCCGTTCCCCGGCATAGACCACCACATGGCCCGAGCCCGTGATGTACTTCTGGTAGTTCTGGAGCTCCATGACTTGGAAAGCCGGGCATCCGCCGCTTTGAGGAAGATCCGGAGTGGTGGCGCAGAGGAACTTGAACTTCCCGCCACAGGACATCCTGCCACCCACAAAGACGGCCCCATCTTGGGAGCAGGACCATCCGACCGAAAGATGGTCGGAGGCCTCTGCACTCGTGAAGCTCTGGCAGGTGTCTCCAGTGCTGAAGGCCCCAACGAGCCCCGAGGCTTGATTTGTGCATTCGCTGGTCACTGGATTCGAGAGGCTGGAGATAAAGCCATGGCAATCCGTCTTCCCCAGCTCCTCCGTCCAGTCCAGGTTGTAGTACTTATATAACATTTTTCCATACTATTTTGGGGGGCATACTATTCTAAGTATAGAAGAATAGACCCCAAAACCCTGTTCCAATTATTGGCTCCTCCGTCCAGTCCAGGTTGTAGTAGCTGGTCTCTGGAAGGAGGGGCCAGTCAATCCTCCCGGCTGATGGAGGCCACATGCCCAGGGAGGCCCGTCTGCACGGCTCACCTCCACACCCGGACTCATCCACCAACAGTGCCTTCGCAGGCTGCTTCGCCTCCGAGGTGCAGATGGCATCTGCCCCCTCTATGCCACCAAGATTCATGCTGTGCTTTTCGCTTGTCATGAAGATCCGGGGCTTCCTTGCCAACTCCGGATCAAGGGTAGACGTCGTCGTGGTTGTGGTCGGGATATTGAAACCACTGATCCTCACAGGCTGAGTACCCTATAGCCCCCAAAGGTTAACCTTTTGAGTCATAGTAGGCTTATAAGAGCCCCAAAAGGTTAAAGTTAAAGGTTACCTACTCAGCCGCTTAAGGATCTCTTCTGCTGTGGCAGCTGCCATCTCGGAGTCAGCCTCCTTGGTATTTACACCGTCGCCAAGGTCGGCAGTCCACACGTAGGCGAAGGTCACATCGTCCGTGGAGCAGTAGAGGTCGAATTTGGGGATGGCGTTGTTCGCACTGCCCCACTGGTGAGTCTTGACTTTGGTCACGGCATTTGGCTGATTCAGCTTGTAGGTGATGCCTTTCCCAACCTTCGCGGCGCCGCCACACGTCACCCACTTCGTGGACAAGTCACCGTCGAAGGCGCCCTCGGGGGACCCCGCCCAGTGCTTGCAGTCGGAGCTTGCGGTGCCCTTCCCAGGTCCTGAGATGAGGTCATCGCCATTGAAGAGCTCGATCTCAAAGATGTGCCCCTCCCAGCCCCTGGGATTGTCCTCCGCGATCCGCAGCTGCCACGAGGAGCACACTGGTGCACCTGACGAAATCATCCTCGCCTTGGAGACTGCCGTCTGCAACAAAGCTTCTGTTCGTGCTGCCACCGGGCATGCTTGCTCTTCACATGTCGTCGCGGCCGCAACGGACAAGAGGGCACCCATGAACAGCACGGACATGGCGGTAAGAAGATGAGGCCGTTGCCCCAAATTTGTCCGGTTCTCAACTGGAGTAAAATGCCTTTGACACTGACATTCGGAGCCAAACAGCAAGAGCAGGAATGTTCAACACCAAGCTTCAATCGGCAAACGCTTCCTGACGGCATCAGTCGTCGCCGGTCGTAGCCCTAAGCCCTAAAACCCACAGCCTCCTAGACCTGCAGTCTTCCGAAATTTCCCTTGGCCTCGCTGTCCTCACAGCACTGGTCAGTCAGAGGAGGCGGGGTGCAGTGCCCGTTTCTGTCAAGCATCTTTTTTTTGAGATGTCAGTGGCAACTACGAGACTATGAGGGTCCGTAACACTGGCACAGGACAGTAAAACTGCCATCGCTCTGCATCCGGAACATCCCCGCGCACGGGCAGCCTTGCACGTGGGACATCGTTCGTGAAGGCCACAGATCACCAGCTCAATCTGCCGGCGAAGTTTCAATCAGCAATACCGGTAGAGAGATTCAAGCCTCCCATGTTGAAGTCTTCGTCTGAGCCTCGTCGCGTTCAGCATCTCCACGCCGCCTGGTCTTCGCCCATGACCCGGGAGCTATCGCTTCGGTTTGCCACGGGCTCCCGTCTCCAGCCAATCACCCGAACAGCTCGCTTCTTCCATAACATCTAGCTCAAGGTCTCCCAGAACTCCTTGGCTCGGAAAGGCTGTTGGCACTTCGGATAAGCATCGCGTGAATGCACCGTGTGACCTTATAATGTGGAGCCAGGTCACTGACAAACTCCTGGCGATCCACGGCCTGCCTGCAAGACACATCAAACGAGCTGTTTGCCCAGGGTACAAGGACCTCCACACACTCGCAATCCTGCCAGCATTCTCCCCTTCTCGTCATCACCATCATCATCCTCCTCCGCTGCTGCCGCTTTTGCTGCTGCTCCTGCTCCTGCTCCTACTCCTACTCCTACTCCTACTACTCCTACTACTCCTACGACTACTACTACTACTACTACTACTACTACTACTACTCCTACCACTACTACCACTACTACTACTACCACTACTACCACTACTACTACTACTACTACTACTACTACTACCACCACGACTACTA